CAAGAAAGAAAGATAGAGAGAGAGGGAAGAAAGAAAGGAAGGGAGGGAGAAAGGGACAATTACAGTGTCTGTGTGGCCCAAAGGTAGAGCATGAGGTCCTGGGTCTGACTCCAAGCACTGAAATGAGAACTCCCTTACACTACAGTAAGCATAAATGAGACTCCAAGTCACATGTCAAGTGCTGACTCCCAGGTGGAGGCATTAGGAGGTGAGGCCTTTGGGAAGTGACTGGGTCATGAGGCTGATTAGTGTCCTTATAAGAGAGACTCTGGGGAGCTCCCTTGTCTTCTTCTCTGGGTTAGGACACAATGGGAAGATGGCCATGTGTGAACCAGGACTTAGAGCCTCCCCTGACACCAAATCTGTGTCTACTTGACCTTTGATTTCTTATCTTCAGAACTGGGAGAAATAAATGGGTGTTTGTGAGCCACCTGGAACTCTCTACCTTGGGAGGCTCTGGGACTGACCCTAGCACCACACACACAGGATGACCGCCTATTCATGGCAAGCCACCCAGTCCATGGCAGTGGCTTCCCCATCCCACAGGGTTAAGACACGGCGTTGGGAGAATGGGTCGGTGAGGACAGAGGATGTAATGGGTCTCTATGCAGTGTTACTTTGAATGCATGTAAGAAAAGTCATCTGGTCGCAAATGGAGTCGGGCCTGCCATCTGGATTCCAGGGATCAGCAGGCACGACTGCCTTTCCTGGACATCTTTACTTCCAGAAGGAGGAGCATGGCCCTTCTTGCACACTCTTGCTGGTGGCTTGGGCTGTCAGAGACCCACCATGCTGCTCCAGGGCTGTGGAGAGAGCCCCTCTGTTGCTGGAAAGCTAAGCCAAAGCTAGGGCTTAGGTGCTCACTGTCCCTACAGGCCATGTGTTGGAGGCTCTGCTGGGGGGGAGCCCTTGGGAAGGAGGGCCTGGTAGGAGGGAGTTCAGCCATTGGAGGTGTGTGTGAGGGGACACAGGGACCCACAGCGCTGTGCTTTTGTTTCTCTGGGGACCCTGAGGAATATAGCCTGGAACCCTGACCATCCTCTCCCTGTGGCCCCCACTCCCCAGCAGTCTTAGCCTGGCCCAGTGCTCTGGAGCTTGTGTCTGAGGGAAAGGCAACAAACCCCTGGGCAGAGGAAGAAGTGACACAGTCCAGACCTGGGTTGGGGGAAACCCTCCACGGGGTTGCCTACACCCTTCCCTTCACAGTGGAGCTCAGGAGCACCAGGGTCAATGAGCGTCCACGTGCTCAGAACTGAAGAGATGTAGAAGCCACACCCTGGAGACCAGCATCCCAGCTGCACAGGATCTCAGCTCTAGGAAGTATCTGGATCCTCTATCTGCTTCTGCATTAGATCTGTCATCTAACCAGACACCACAGCCTGTCGAAAATTCCAGTACACACTGGTGAAAGTGAAAAATGACTCAGGGTGTCCCTGCTACATCAAGAGCTGTAGGTGTGGGAGGATAGCAAGCCCGGAGTCCACTGCTCCACCTCTCTATCCCACGACAGGGTTCTGCATTAGGTGGCCTACTACCAACAGTTGTTAAAAATTATGTCCCTCATAAAAGTAAAACATTGTAACTAGGCAACTAAAAATAATACTAATTTTAAAAACCATTGTGGAGAAACTAGCCCCAAATCAAACTTTCTGTTAGGGCTTTACAAAGAATTCTGGAGAACATGCTGGGGTCGTCAGAACTGAAGAGAAGTTGTGAGCCTTCACAGAAGGGTGGCCAGGATCGTCTTCAGAGAAACTGAACTGCAAGCATGGGTCCCACTCCATGGGCACGTGGCCCTCTGAGGAGCTGCTCTGTGGGCGTTGAGCTGTTTCTCCTGGGGAAAGCCTATCTGATGTGCTCCCAGGGGCAGCGCAGCCCTGGCTAGGTCTAGGGCACACAGTCTGTGCTCAGGGGGCCGTGGTTCTTCCCCGTCTCTAGCTCATCATGAGGAAGCAACAAAACTATTGCAGAGCAGGGAGCCCATGCTGGGACCTTCTGAGGATAGTACTCTGCCTCCAGGGTCCTCCCTTGACACCTGGCTCCTTGGGCTCCATAGCCCATAGGTACTCTGACTACTTCATGCCATGGGACACGCCTTCCCTCCAGGTTCAGGTGTACCCACATCAGGTGCAAGGTTGTCAGATGCAAGGTGCTGCCCGCTGTGAGCTGGGGTCCTACTGAGCCTGTGTTCCACTTCAGAGCTCCAAGGTGACTTTTAATCTTTAATTTTTTTTGACTTTTCTTTTTTCTTTCTTTCTTTTTTTTTCTTTTTTTGAAAGACCAAGAAGTCACACTTGATTGTAAGAACAGTGGCCAGAGGTGCAATGACCAGGCAGGGACTATTCATATGGGTTAGATGTTCTTTGAACAGAGTCTGGGCCTTGGGTACCTCCTTCATGCTTAGTCATTATAACAAAGGGTGACGGGAACAGAGGTGAGTCATGAAGCCACATGGCTCTCCTGTGGAACTAGGTGGGGAAACAGGGGAAGATACTGTATTTCTAACTCATCTTCTCTCCCCAGGTGAGCATTCCAAATGTCAAGGATCTGCCCAGTAAGCAAAATACCTCAGTTTATCCCAAGGTTGAAAACAAATGAACTTAAATCACCATATCACAAAAGGCAGCTAACTTGAAGACTAAAAATGTCACTTGGAAATAAAGGTGGGGGCACACAATGGAGAAATGGGGCAGAACACAATGGAGAAGAGGGAGAGGTGTAAATCCAGCAGCCTACACACCACATATGTCAGAGGAGCAGGCTCCCCCCCACACGGGCTCGGTAATACCAGGCGGGCTATTTGTTCACAGTATTAAAGGGCATCTAGAATTTCGCTACAGTAAGGAATTGAAAGTTGCCTCAAGAATGGGCACAGAAAGGCTGCGTCCGAAGATGGCCTGTCACTCAGGAGGGTGGAGCTGCTGGGCCTTCGTTGACCAGTATATTTCGAAAAGCGCAGAAAGGGGAGGGGTGGCTTTAGTCACCTGATATCATTCCTTTCCCTGGGTCCTTTGTCTCATCTCATCTAGCTGTCTCTTCGTCTCTTCTTCCATCCTTCGAATGTCGTCCATGGTCAGGTTCACCCACTTATGAGCCAACAGAACAGCTGCCTGTGGAAGTTTGTGAACAACGCTTCTCTTTGTTCCACAGGCCCCACCACTTGAACTTGACAGTGACCAGTGTGTGTGCGCACATATATGGGCAGTCTTTCTGATTTACAAGTTCTTGCTTCCACTTTGGGCCCAAGGGTCCTTGGCCTGTTTGACAGACTTGAATGCTGCAGGGTCTTCCTCTGCCCTGTAATCCTTGCTAAGTACTTGACTTTGCTCTTCAATGTCTACATATATGACCTCCACGTGTTTCCATGTCTCGGGCTACAGTTTATGCACATTCTCTTGGGTGCCAAGATCTGGTTTGTGCCAGGTTTCAATTTTAATCAGAAAGTCCTCTTTCATGTACTCATTTGTAATAGCAGTTCTGCAATATGGGTAGGCATTCCATGTTTTTTCATGTATATTCAGGGGCCAGCATTTGAACAAATGTGGGTACCCTGCTCTTTAGGTGGTAGATCTTGTGCGTATACTGGCCTTTCTCACCATCCTTCTCATAGGGTCCACTCACTGGGGCCTCCACACCTTCACCACCACCAGTTTCATTTTTTCTGGCCTTGACCACAGAATACAGCTGCCCCACTTGATACTATATCTACCCAGATCCTTTTTTTGGCTTTTCACTATTAACTTATGACAAGCATTCCACATCCACAATTCTCTCCAGTCAAAAAATTCTTTGAGACAATGCTGTCAACTTGGCCAGTTGGAGGATGGAGTCATCTGACTTGCCCATCCTGTGAATGGCCCCCAAGACCATGTAGGTTTTAAGCTGGCCATTAAACCTGCCAGTGACCGTGTTCACTTCCTCTACGTCCATCTGGATGGACAAGTGGTCCTTGGCACCAATCATGCTGTTGCTGGTGGTGCATTTCCACAGCACGTACAGGTTCATGAAGTCAGCCATCTTGTTCTGGACATTGAAGCGTGCCTGCTGCCTCCACCAAGAGCACTAGCACAGAAGGGAGGAGCCAGGTTGAATTGTGCCCACTGGAGCATGGAGACCGTGTGGAGAGCTGGAATATATCTGGAAGCCAAGGTCCTACTGGCTATCTTTGGTCCCTTTGGGTGATTTTGTCATTCTGCTGACCTACCATTTTTGTGACCTCTGGATAAGTGTATGCTAAGCTCAGCAAACCTCTGGCCTTTTCCATTGAAAACTAGAAATGGGACACACCCAAATCCTGCAAAAGATTCTTCCCATCTTAACAAAAGCCATCCCTGAATCGTTGATTTCTCCAGCTCTTTGCAGTCTGACTAGCTGAGAGCCCCACTCCTTCCTTCTGGGACTAAAAAAGCATGTGTAGCAGGCTCTGTGGTTCATGCCTGTAATCCCAGAGGATTTGGAGGCTGAGGCAGGAGGATCATGAGTTCAAAGCCAGCCTCAACAATGGCGAGATGCTAAGAAACTCAGTGAGACCCTGTGTCTAAATAAAATCAAAATAGGGCTGGGGATGTGGCTCAGTGATCAAGTGCCCGAGTTCAATCCCCGATACTCTCCACCTGCAAATGTGTGTAATTGCCTTCAATGGAAACATGTGTATTTTGGGAAGGCTTAAGCTTGAGTTCACAGAGAATGGTTGTTCATATTTGGCTCAGAATACAACATTTTCTTATTTCCTCAAAGCAGAGGTATTGCTTTCTCTGTACACTCACAACCCAGCAACACCCCAGAATGCCAAGGGGCTCCACTTATCCCAGAGTTGTGCCAATCTTTCCCTGTTAGACATTTGTTCATACTCACTGTATTACCAGGGCAAAAACACAAAACCACCACGTGACCATTTGCAAACACACAGGCTGATACCAGAAAATAAATCCAACATCTTTATTCATTTATAAGAATTTGTCAGTAATTTATTTTTTTTTCTTTTTATTTCTTTTCTTTTCACGTGTGTGGAGCTGGGGAATCACAGGAACTTGTGCATGCCAAGCAAGCATTCTACCTCCTGGGAAAACCCCAGCTCCTGTTACTAATCTTAAAATTCTCTTAACAGCCTGGTGTAAGCCAGGCATGGTGGTGCACATCTGTCATCCCAGTGGCTCTGGTGGCTGAGGCAGGAGGACTCCAAGTACAAAGCCAGCCTCAGCAACTTAGCAAGGCTCTTAGCAACTCAGGAAACCATGTCTCTAAATAAAACACAAAAAAGTTGGGTATGTGGCTCAGTAGTGAGCACCCCTTGGTTCAATCTCTGGTTTAAAAAGAACAACAATAACCAAATCAGGTATAATGGTATGTACCGATATCCCCAGCTACTTGGAAGGCTCAGGCAGGAGGATTATGAATTCAAGACCAGCCTGGGCAATATAGTGAGACCCCCATCTCAAAATTAAATACCTTTCAAATAATAATTTAATCATATGACCAGTATAATCATAACATAATAAACACTCATCTTTGTGACCTGTTATGAATTGAACTTACATGTCAAATCCTATCCCCAAAACCTTATTAGGAATAGGGTAGTTGCAGGTGTAAATAGCTAAGGTGATGTCATATTGAACAAGTTGATCCTTAATCCCATGACTGATGTCCTTATAAAAGGAGGAGACAAAGACACTCAGCTCAGTTGGTTCAGGTGCTAACAGAAACCAGGGCCCTGGAGGGCTCCTAAATGGAGACTGTCCTCACAGTCTGGAGCTGAGAAGTCGAAGAGAAGGTGCCATAGACACCTGCCTGGGCGGGCTGCTTCCTGTCTCACACGTGGCCACCTCCTCTCTGCTCACTTGGTTAAATGTGTTAGAAACACCAGGTTTCGTTAAGAATCAGACATGGGCTCTCAGAAGTAGCTGGGCAAGGAAAAGTTTACTTCTGCAGACAGCACGCAGCTGAACAAAGTGGCAAGCAAGCCACTTTGGATGGGCAGTCCCCCTGATTTTATTCCCAACCCAGCACTGACCCTTGCTCTGACGGGAGGAGCCTGGTATCAAGAAGCGCCTTTGCTGCCCCTCACCCCTTTTCTCTATGGCAGGAAGTTCTTCTGGTGGGGGGAATGTGTTTCGCAGCAGATCGTTCTTAACTTCTTTACCTAAGTTTCTATTTCTAAACAAGGATCCCTACCTCTGCTTTCTGTTGCTTTTCTCTAGTTAACCTACATGTAATGCTCTGCAGAGTGGGAGAAGCACACCTCGAAAGAGGAACCTGGAGGAAGAGGAAGGAAGGAAAGATGGCTTTGTGGTCACTCTGGGGTTGCTGGTGGCACGGGCTTTGCCGCCCTCTGGGGGTGACAGATATGTAGGCCTGCTGCTCAATTCCGCAGGCGCAAGGGGGAGTGCAAGATTCCTCTTGGGGGAAAATACACCCCTGGTTTAGCCTGCCTTGCCCCAACAGCTCTCACGGGCTCCCCTTTCAGAACGGGCAGGTTCCGACTCACCACTGTGACAGACGCTCTCCGTGCCTCTGGGTCTGGCGTCTGGCTTGCACCTGTCTCACCAGCCCCCCACTCCTTCCAGGCCTCTGCAGGACCACTGAGCCATACTCCACCCAGCCTGGGGCCTTCAGCCCTATATCTCTTCAGCCAGCCCTCAGACGTGACTGCCTGGAGCCTGGGCTTTGGTTTTGGCCCCAGGCTAGGGACAGGCAGAGAAGGCCCTGGTGGGATTCGCCCCATGTAAGTTGCAGGTGCAGGACATTGCTGGTCAATATATTTTTAAGCATTTGCCCCACCTAAGAAAACTTAACTTTATAATAGGTATTCTGTATGTGTGTGTGGGGGGGCACTCCACCCAGCCCATTTTTGTATTGGATTTAGAAACCGGGTCTCACGGAATTGCTTAGCACCTCCCCTTGCTGAGGCTGGCTTTGAACTCACAATCCGCCTGTCTCAGCCTCCCAAGCCACTGGGATAACAGGCGCAGGACACACAACGGCAGGGCTAGGTATTCTGACTTTTGATAAGGGTGGGCATCTGGCGTGGAGCACAAAAGAAAATGCCAATCCTGGGTGCAGTTCAGGTAGGGCACTTGTGCTCTTACCTATCACGTGCAAGACCCTAGGTTCAAACCCAAGGGCTGAGAGGAAAAGAAGACCTCACCACACCCCGCAGGGTTACCTGTGTGCCTTAGCCTTTCAGTTCCTGTTCAGGCCCAGGAGCCTAGGGCCCACCATTGGGCTACTGCCTCTCTGCCTGGGCAGTTTTTTTTCTGTTTCTGATGAAGGGTGGAGAGTTCCCCGTGAGAAGGGGAGGTCAACTCAGGACATACAGGTTCAGGGCGCACGTGGTGCAGGTCCAAGGCACATACCGCTCATTTAGGAAAGCTGGTACCTATTCAGGGCAGAATGGGGCTGCCTCCAGAGGACAGCAGCCTGCGACAGGGGTGTTTATGGAGGGCCAGGAGTAGGGGCAGTGCTACAGGTGGAGCCAGGTGGAGTCACAGGGTTTCCTGCCAGTTTTCTCTGCACTTGTGCCTTGTCCCAACACAAGTCCAAGATTTAAACTTTGCATTGTATTATAATGAATCAGGTTTTGATTTATGTGAAAAATCAGTACTCAAATCTTTAGAAAAAAAATCTAGAAATGGTGGTTTAACTGAGTCAACTGGAATACTCACAAAATCCCTCTTACACAATTCATGTTCCATAAATGCTTTACAACTTCCTCTGAGGTTTCATGACCTGTTTAAACCTGCAACTTGCTACTTATGCCAGAAGTTTTGCCCTGTATGCCTCTGCCCCTCCAGGAACAATCCATCATTCTACATTAAAACAAAACAAAACAAACTATATATCCATCTATCTCTCTATATACACACACACATATATTATGGATGTATACATACGCACATACACACACACTCAACAACTATTCTATATGTACTTTCATGTTATTGAAGGTGACTAGGAATATTAAATGATTTGTCATGCTTTTTGCATTCAGTGGGCTTTTGTACATTACCACTACTTTCAGGTTTAAAACAGAACCCCCAAATGAAAGGCATTTCACATTTTTTCTCTTTAGTAGGGATTTTTTTCCTGATGAGTTGTTTGATGTTTTATAATGTAACTACATGAAGTAAAGGCTTTCCCACATTTTTACATACACAGGCCATCTCTCCAACATGAGTTCTTTGAAGAAAATAAAAGTGACTAGATGTAGTGAAGTATTTCCCACACTGCTTACATTAGTCAGGTTTCTCTGTAATATGAGTTAATTCATGTATGTAAAGGTAAACAGAAGTAGTGAAGGCCTTCCCACATTGTTTACAACTACAAGGCTTTCTTCCTGTATGAAATTGTTCATGTATGTGAAAGGAAAAAGAACTAGTGAAGGCTCTCCCACATTGTTTACATTTATAAGGCTTCTCCCCATTATGAAATCATTCATGTCTGTGAAGGTGAGCAGACCTAGTGAAGGCTGTTCCCCACTATTTACATCCATAGGGCTTCTTTCCTTTATGAGTTCATTCATGTGAATGAAGCTATCTGGATCCAGCAACGACTTTTCCACATTGTTTACATTCATAAAGCTTTTCTCAAGTATGAGTTCATTTATGTATTTAAACGTAAGAGGAAGTAGTGAAGGCTTTTCCCAATTATTTACATTCCTAGAGTTTCTCTACAGCATGATTTTGTTTATGTCTTTGAAGATAAGAAGATGTAGTGAAGGCTTTACCACATTGCTTACATTCATAGGGCTTCTTTCCAGTATGACTTTGTTTATGTCTTTGAAGGGAACTGGAATAAAGAAAGGCTTTCCCACACTGCTTACATTCATAGGGCTTCTCTCCAGTATGAGTTCGTTTATGTCTATGAAGGTAAGAGGAACAACTGAAGGCTTTCCCACACAGCTTACATTCAAAGGGCTTCTCTCCAGTATGAATTCGTTTATGTTGGCAAAGGGAAGTTGAAGAAACAAACACTTTCCCACACTGCTTACATTCATAGGGCTTCTCTCCAGTATGAATTTGTTTATGTCTTTGAAGGGAACTAGAATAAATAAAGGCTTTTCCACATTGCTTACATTTATAGGGCTTCTCTCCAGTATGAATTCGTTCATGTTGGCAAAGGGAAGTTGAAGAAACAAAGGTTTTCCCACATTGCTTACATTTATAGGGCTTTTCTCCAGTATGAATTCGTTTATGTCTTTGAAGGTAAGAGGAACAACTGAAGGCTTTCCCACATTGTTTACATTCATATGGCCTCTCTCCAGTATGCGATCGTTTATGTACTTTAAGGTAAGAGGAACAACTGAAGGCTTTCCCACATTGCTTACATTCATAGGGCTTCTCTCCAGTATGAATTCGTTTATGTGTTTGAAAGGAGTAAGTAAAAGTTTTCCCACATTGCTCACATTCATAGGGCTTCTCTCCAGTATGAATTCTTTTATGTTGCTGAAGGGATGTAGAAGAAGCAAAGGCTTTCCCACATTGTTTACATTCAAAGGGCTTCTCTCCAGTATGAGTTCGTTTATGTCTTTGAAGTTGAGAGGACTGAGTAAAAGCTTTCCCACATTGCTTACATTCATACGGCTTTTTTCCAGTATGAATTCGTTCATGTTGTCGAAAGGAATTGGAATAAACAAAGGCTTTTCCACATTGTTTACATTCATAGGGCTTCTCTCCAGTATGAATTCGTTTATGTGTTTGAAGTTGAGAGGAATGAGTAAAGGCTTTCCCACACTGCTTACATTCATAGGGTTTCTCTCCAGTATGAATTCGTCTATGTCTAGAAAGGTAAGAGGAACAACTGAAAGCTTTCCCACATTGGTTACATTCATAGGGCTTCTCTCCAGTATGAATTCGTTCATGTTGGCAAAGGGAAGTTGAAGAAACAAAGACTTTCCCACATTGTTTACATTCAAAGGGCTTCTCTCCAGTATGAGTTCGTTTATGTGTTTGAAGTTGAGAGGAATTAGTAAAGGCTTTTCCACATTGCATACATTCATAGGGCTTCTCTCCAGTATGAATTCGTTTATGTTGCCAAAGAGAAGCAGAATAAACAAAGACTTTCCCACACTGTTTACATTCATAGGGCTTCTCTCCAGTATGAATTCGTTTATGTGTCTGAAGTTGAGAGGAATGAGTAAAGGCTTTCCCACACTGCTTACATTCATAGGGCTTCTCTCCAGTATGAATTTGTTTATGTCTTCGAAGGTAAGAGGAACAACTGAAGGCTTTCCCACATTGTTTACATTTACAGGGCTTCTCTCCAGTGTGAATTCGTTTATGTGTTTGAAGATGAAAAGAATAAGTAAAGGTTTTCCCACATTGCTTACATTCATAGGGCTTCTCTCCAGTATGAATTAGTTTATGTCTACGAAGGTAAGAGGAACAACTGAAGCTTTTTCCACATTGTTTACATTCATAAGGCTTCTCTCCAGTATGAGTTTGTTTATGTGTTTGAAGATAAAAGGAATAAGTAAAGGCTTTGCCACATTCCTTACATTTATAGGGTTTCTCCCCAGTATGAATTCGCTGATGTCGCTGGAAGGAAGAACAATATATGAAGGCTTTCCCACATTGTTCACACTGATAGGGTTTCTTTCCATTATGAGTCCATTCGTGTGAATGAAGCTGACTGGATGTAGCAAACACTTTCCCACATCGTTTACATCTATTAAGTGTCTCTCCAGTATGAAATCGTTCATGTATATGAAGGTAAGAGGAACGACTGAAGGCTTTTCCACATTTTTTACATTCATAGGGCTTCTCTCCAGTATGAGTTTGTTTATGTCTTTGAAGGTGAGAGGAACAAGTGAAAGCTTTCCCACACTGTTTACATTTATGGGTCTTCTCTCCAGTATGTGTTTGTTTACGTATTGGAAGATAAGAGGAACTAGTGAAGACTTTACTAGACTGATTACATCTGTAAGCTGTCTCTTTGGTATGAGACTGTTGAAATTTTTGAAAACACAAGGAACAACTTAACTCTTTTCCACATGTTAGACATTCATAAGTTTCATCTATAGTATGCACTGATGCTTGTCTTTGAACACTTGTGTGACAAAATAAAGATGTTTTCTTCTGTTTAAGTTCATATGGCTTCCCTGCACTCAACTCATTCTCGTACAATTTGTTTGCAGAGTGAGATATAATGTGCCTATTAAGGAAAAAAAGATATATAAAGACTTGTCAATATATACTACTCACATGGACTTACTCTAATGGGAAAGTCCTGGTAAAGACTAAGATTTGGAATCTCACACTGAGTACCTATTTAAATTTTTCCAGAACCTACCATATGACTTGTGTTTAAAAAAAAATTACATGGATATTTATGGTTGGCTTATTAACACTTTTATATATTCATTAGTCAGTATGGCACGTACACTATTACCAATGTCAGGGAAAATATTGATTTTCTGTCATGTTTAAACTGTCTGAAAATAAATGTAATGATGACTTTGCAACACTGCTTCTCATAGATAGTACTAAAATGGTGGTATCATAAGAGCAGTTAGTTTGTTAGCATTGTCAACAAATCAATAATTTTTGAAAATATGAAACATATAACTTATATTAAAGTTCTGGTTAAATAGGAATAACTATAATTTATATCATGGTTGTTTTCTCTGCTTGTTTGTAAAATTATAGGACATGTTACAATTCCATCAAGATACTGTGTTTCTTCTAGTGAATACAAATTACCTTAGATCTCTTTCAGTATTTCTGTTCTGATTTTTCCACTTGTCTCCTAAATGAAGACAGAGAACAATCATGAATCATTATGATTTTGGAATAAATTATGGGATTTATAATATGGACTGCTCTAATGCACAAATAAAAATGAAGAAAAAAGAGAAAAATTATGGGGTTCATGCTCAGAGTGAAATGATATTAGGGCCATTTTATTCCCCCAAAGTACTCCCTTTTCACATTCCAAATCCCTGAGGAAAAAAACTCTCACTTGGCAGGCCCAGTGTCCCACACATATAATCCCAGCAGATTGGGATGCTGAGGAAGGAGGATCTCACAGGTTCAATGCCAGCCTAAGCAACTTATGGAGGCCTTGTCTCTAAATAAAGTATAAAAAAGGGCTGTAGATGTGGGTCAGTGGTTGAACACTCCCAGATTCAATCCTTGGTAAAAACAAAAACAAACAAACAAACAAAAAAGCAACCTCCCAATTTCTCAGTGATTGACTATATAATGAAACATCATCTTTACCTATAGAAGCCAGGTTTCTAAGGACTTCTTGCATCACGTCTCTGTGGAGATTCTTCTGGGAGAGATCCAGCAAAGCCCACTCCTCCTGGGTGAAGTTCACAGCCACATCCTCAAAGGCCACTGAATTCTAAAATTCCAGAAAAGAGTAGTGCATGCCAGGAGAGATTGGCAGTATGAGGGCTCTATTCTCACCATAAGACATATTTGCACATTTCTGTGATCTCCAAATATTCATTCCATGATTTTGTCACCAAAACTTGTACTCTCATTGTGCACTCACTTGCCCAAACAGAGGCATATTAATACAAGACCGGAACTATCCATAAAAGCATGAACAGAGCAAAAACACCCTTCTTCTTGTGGAGTCCAGGGAGTAAGGTATGCTCCTGGGTCACCCCAACACCTTTGTGAGTGCATATTTAATTTATGGAATAATGAAGCCCTATTACCTTATGTGCAAAAGAGAGTTTAATTGCTGGGTGCAGTGGCGCATACCTGTAATCCTAGTGGCTTGGGAGCCTGAGGCAGGAGGATCATGAGTTCAGAGCCCAAAAAGCAAGGCATTTAAGCAACTCAGTGAGACCCTGTCTCTAAATAAAATATGAAATTGGGCTGGGGATGTGGTTCAGTGATTGAGTTCAATCCCCACTACCAAAAAAGAAAGAAAAAAGAAAAAGAAAAGAGAGCTAATATTAGTCCTCCTAACAGTATGTACACTTAGAAGTATCAGCTGACAAGTTGGAACTTGGCTGGTAGGGGGAACTAAGGACATGGGAGGATCCCACCAAACTATGCAGTAACATTGAGTCATAATGCTGAGACTATAGGTAAAAAACACGATCTTTACTGAATGTATGCCTTCCTTAGAAACCCAGTTATTTTGTTCCACTCATACCTTAAAACTCCTAGTCAGGAAACAAGCATGGGAGATGGGGCAGCTGCCCCTGCAGCAGTTTTACTTCTTACCTGAAATTTACCATGAACTGTAGCATGGTGATTTTTCTGACTATTCCTATAAATTTATAGTATTTTCCCTTTAGAAACATTGCCAGTATATCACAGTGAAGATCTTGCTCTCGCTCTCTCTCCCTCTCTCTCTCTCATACACACACACACACACACACACACACACACACACACACACACACACTCACTGCTTAAAGCATAGGAAGAAGAAAGATGGCATTTTTCAGTATGCCCAGAGAACTCCAACCTTCCTGGCAGTACATTTAGAAGAAATTATTTCCAAAGACTAAATCACCTGAGATGTTAAAAGTCAAACCTTCTGGGGAAAAGAGAAACACCAACCTCCATCTGCCCCCAGTCTTCCTGTCTAATCAGAGAGGAGGAAAGGCTGAGAAGTGCTCATGAAAAATGGCCCTAGAAGGACTTGAATATGAGACCTGTTCCATTCACCAGGTCCTTTCGATGCAGCAATGGAAACAGTAGCCAGGAAAATTATGTAAGGAGAAACAGTGAAAAAGAGATGCACCCAAATTGGAAAGGAGAGTAAAATTATCTCCCTTCACAGATAATCAGTTCCATAAGTGTATGAGCAACCTGAGAAAGGCATTCTGGAAATAATATCAACAATTAAAACAATGTCCCAAGAAGGGGGCTTATGTACTGAAAACTACAAAATGTTCCTAAAAGAAATGAAATAAGACACAAATAAATGGAAATATACCTGTGTCATGAGCTCAAAGTATTACCATTTTAAAGACCACCCAAGGAACCTGGGCTCAGACACAACACCCTCGCCCTGTGGCAGCAGGACCTCAAGCTCACATCCAAGGAGTGAGGCAGTGTTGGCCTCTGAGCACAGGAAAGGGAAGCCATCAGGATCCTGCTGCCACTGACCACACACTGGGGGAGCAATGGCAGGAAGTTGCCCGAGTTCTATGAAGCCTAGAAGGATTACCACAATCTGCCTGGGGCCCATGCTGGAGGAAAGCTGCTTGGACACACATTGACACAGAGAGATGGCCCCAGATGTGGCAGCTCCCTGCAGAAGGCTGGGATGAGAAGTTGCCCAAGTCCCCTGGAAGCTGAACGGGAAGGAGATCCCAGTCATTGGAGGCAGCAGGAGGTGGGTCAAGGCAGAAATTTGTTTGCTCTAAGGCAGTGAGCAGAAAGCAACAGCTCCCATCATGTGGTGTTAGGGCCAGACCTGGGGAATGCTGGGCACTGTTAGGACACCAGTTGGATGCTGCATCAGTCACTCAGCAAAAGAAATAGGCACCTGCTGTTGATGACCTGAGACACAAGAAGTTAAAAAAAAACAGTGAAGTCTTTGTATTTAGGACTAAGGACAGCATCCCAGTGAGTCATGCTGGCCAGGGTGGGGGGACATTTCTGCACCACAGATGGGCCTGCAGAGAATTCACAGCCACAGGACCTGTCCTCAGACACAGCCACCAAGCTCCCTGCCACATTAAAAAGCATTCTGCTGAGTAGAGCGGGTACTCACTGACCCACAGCAAATATGATGGAACCTAACAAAGTACTGCACCCCTGGGCAGTCAACCACCCGCCCCAGGGATGGCCCACCAGAACTGCCCAGTGGATGTTCACAGCAATTAGTGGAGTGCCTTATGTCCCAGCACCTCTGGAAGGACACAAAGTCACAGAGTGACAGACATCGTCTACATGTCCCAAAATATAATGAAATCCAAAGTGAGATTCAGCAAGACTTTTCATCACCTTGACATGTTTTATTATAAATAACTCTAATGTCAGTTTTGTTTTTTTTTTTTTGGTACTTTGTGTTGAACCTAGGGACACTTAAACACTCGGTCACATCCCTAGCTCTTTTTAATGTTTAGAGAACTGTTGAATGAAATGGAATAAATTATGCTATGTGCTGTATAAATATATCACAGTGAATTCTAATGTTACATTTACGTATAAAGCATATCATTTCAAAGTGAGGAACACAGATGTATCATGTTCAAGGGACTGATAAGCAGCCTACCAGCTGGACATCTCCCACCTGGTCCTACTCACTGAAACACTCCTTGATCACCCTCCCAGGAGACCTGGACCATGACTCCAGTCTATGAGGCTTTCAGGTTTGCACAGCACTGCACTGGGGTGGGTGGTCCTTATGCTCTGGGAGAGTTTTCCTCCTACACAACTGTGAGAGAATGCAAGGGCAAGAATCTCTGCTGACCTGGCCCCTCAGCACCAGCATCCACAGGCTCACTGTCCACCTGTCTCCAAGGAATGGGAACAGAGCTTGGGGGACACAATATCCCCAATATGAGGCAGTTGTTTAGATGTGACATGTTACAGGAAATTCCTCAGCCCCAGGGCTTCCAGCTGCTCCCCTGACAAGGTGTGCCCCACACCTCAGGCTGTCCTCTAGGAGGAGCTGACCCAGGGCCTGAAATTCCCTGTACCTACAGGACACAGGACAGCAGTGGGCACCTGTGACAGCCCAGGAAAGGCCAGGACAGTGGCTCAGGACATGCTACCCTGTGAAATATCTAAAGGGAAGCTTTACTCAAAGATATTAAGGCATCTGTGCTGGGAGAAGACAAAGAACAGTGGAGCTCCAGGTGGCTGTTCTCTACTTTCCCCTCATGGTAGATATTCACAAACAGGACACAAATATTTTTAAAAAGTATCCTGCATTACTGAGTGAAAAATTGATAATACTGTGCCCACTTGAATGTCGTGAGTGGAAGAGTTGAAAATGGTGTGAACTGGAGGAGGAGTTGGAGTCTGGAAAGGTGAGAAAGAGGTGCAAGCTTAGGGGTCTACTGCCAGCCCTAAGAGGGGCTAGCCCGGGAGAGCAAAGTGAATTGAGACCGTGTTTCAGAAACATGGGGTGGGAAAGTGAGTGACTCCTGGGGGAGGAGGAACAGTGACCCCTAGACCAATAACCTTGAACACAGGAACCCCATCCCTGAGTAAGTATCCCATGAAAAGGGTCTGCCTTCATTGCACACTGAGAGACTAGGGCTGGGTCCAGCTGGGCAGAGAGGGTTCTGCCAAAGTGGCTGCAGACCAGGCAGCACATTGGGAACCCACCTGCACCAGCCCACACCATAGCCTGAAGGCATCAAGGGCTGAGCTATAGCAGCATCTGACTCAGGTCTAGGCTGGCTGACTCTGGAGCTGACAGTGGAAGCTGATTCCCACCAGTTCTAACCAGCCCACCTCCCTGAGCAGTCCTCAACCCACACTCACCATTTCCTGCCTTCTGGGGAGTCCTGACATCCTTCCTGAGGATCTCATAGCACCTGCAGGTCACAGGGAGACAGATCTGAGCCAGAGCCACTTGGGCCTCACACAGCAGAGAAGACACAGTCCTGGAGATGGATTCTGAGCTGCATAGGGTGAGAGAGAAAGTCCTGTGAGACTGTGGAAGGCCACCCTCCCACCAGCTGCCTGCTGACTAGTTGATGAACCCAGCCTAATTCCACCTTATGATTGGGAGCCATCTCATCACAAAGTCATGAAAAGTTAATTTATGTTTTACCATAAATTGCTGAGATTTTTAAACTTGTTTGGAACTCCTGCCGGTGCCTTGAACTCATCCATGCCTGGGCTCCCCCTGACCAGATAACCACCCTCTCTAAAACCTTAGTGGCACCTCATAAATCCTGGCTCCCCCTGTCCAGATAATAACCCTCTCTGAAACCTCAGTGGCATCTCATAAATCCTGATGTTGGGATCTGAATTTATTCCCTATCTTAAAATATCATGCCATGTAGATCACTAACCTGCTATCTGCCTTTGTATTATGCTTGTCAAAATCCTGTTACCTGTAAGTTCTCAAGACACACCCCCCCTTTGCAAATTTTTGTTGCTATAAAACCTTGTTCCTGGAAAGCTGGGAGGCTGTTCTCTGGCCCAGGTTTTGGGTGAGAAGGCCACTGGCAAGCTTTTGTGTACACAATACAAGCTTGCTTTAATTTGATTTAAAATTGGAGTTGGTGGTCTTTTCTTGTGTCATGATTCAACATAGGCAGGGGTCCAGAAGACCCCTCTCTCACCCCAGGCCACATATGCATATTTCGGGACCCTGAGTAACAGAATATGTATCCGATTTTTAGATAAATAAGGCCAGAAGGAAAGTTTCTTGGCAAAAGCTCTTTTCAGGCAGGGTTTCTTTCCTACAAGGGGACTGCCACACCAGGGGAATATTTCCACTTATTCAGAACTGACCCCAACTTTCTAAAGCTGGCCTGTTGTCTTCCTGCTCTCAGGAGGCCCTTTCTGCACCTTCAGCCTGGACACAGTCACAAGCATATGTGAGGAATTACACACTTGGAGTGAGGAATTACACACACGATGTGAAGGGAGACAACCATGACCTCAGAAAAGGTGGGTGCCAGGTCAGGCCAGACTGGAAAGGAAGGAGATGGGCATCCATCTCACTAGGGAAGAGCCTGGGGATACTAGGCAAGGCCAGCTCACACTTGACTTTGTCAAGTCATTTTTCAGTCAAGCAAATACAAAGACAACAAGGAAATACAATTAAGTGCATGAAAAATTAGTTACATAGCAATAAAATGAATTAAAAATAAAGAAAATCAAACTCTTAAACCAGCTCAGGTAAGACATCTGTTTCACCTGCAGTTCAGAATGAAAACCCACTTGCAGAGGAATATACATATTCCACGTTGGAAGCCAGAACCTGACTGCTGAAATATGACCCTGAGGGAAGACACCGATGACACTGGCTTCTGTGGGGGCCATGCAACACTCCCCTGAGTCCATTCCCTCCAGGGTGCCCCCCTTTTCACTAGCTATTCAGACTGGAGGGTGAGACTATTAGTAAGAAACACCTGGCTCCTTTTGTTCACATAGTAAGTCTTTAATAGCCTGCTTACTGTTCCTTTTCCTCAGATGTGCTCAATGCATTCTTTAAAGCTGTAGGAGGGGGACTTGGATACAGCTCAGTTGGTAAAGGGCTTGCCTTGCATGTACAGGCACTGGGTTCAATCCCCAATGCCACAAAAACAAAACAAAAAACCCAAAACAGCTGTAGGAGGGAGGTATTTTTTAAAATCAACCCCTTCCACAAACTCTTCCAGGAAAAGGTCATTTTTTTGCCTAACAACCACTAGATGTTCCATTACCCTCTGGACATTCCTTTAGTCTACACAGCAGAGAAGAGTTCAGGTTTTTTTCTTCTTCTCCTTCTTTTTGTGGGTCTTCATAATTGTAAAATTTATAGTGGAAGGGAGAAGATCAGTAAATGCCCGTAAAAATGAATTCTCCTGAGTCTCTGGCACAGAGCAACTGAGAACTTTAGCACCTGCTAATCCAGCCACAATGAGGACTGGCAGATCCAGGAGGTGAGAGTTGATGTGCTGGATTGCTGGAAACTCATGGAGAGAGGTCTCCAAGGACCCAGGTGGGAGGGAGCTTCGTCCTCAACAGCATTACCAGGTTCATCACTAACTTGACCCATAGATGACCAAGAAAAATCAAGAGGACAAGTACTTAACGAATCATCTACTGAGGAGAGAAACTGGGGGACCCCTGAAGCCTCCATCTCCTGCTGATAATCATCAGCAATATCAGAAGTCCTCCTGTCCTCCACACCTATCCCCAAAAGGCTGATCATATATACCAGCTCTCCAAGAGAGGCTGGGGGAAGATTCAAACCAGTTAAAGCACATACTCCTTTTTCCCTCCAAGACTTAAAATAGGTAAGAATCAACCTAGGAAAGTTTTCAGAAGATCCAGATAAATATATTGAGGCATTTCAGAACTTAGGCCAGGGGTTTGATCTCATCTGGAAAGATATTATGCTATTCCTTAACCAAATTTTAACCTCCACTGAGAAGGTCACCCTAGAAGTAGATTAACAGATAGGGGATGACCTACATCTTGTTCATGGTCCAGCAGCACAAACGAGAAGCAAACCTAATCATCAATCTGGAACACAGGTAGTTCCCAGAACAATCCTGCCTGGAATCTGAGTGATGAGCAGGATGCCTGGAATATTAGACATTTCCAGATGTTAATCCTTGAGGCCTCAGGAAAGTCCTGCTATTTTCATGAAGAGACTCAGGGAGGCAGTAAGAAAACACACCACGCTGGATCCTGAATCTATAGAGGGCCAACTATTTTTTTTAAATAAATTATTAAAGAAAATAAATAAAAGATAAATTTATTATTCAGTCAGCCCCAGGCATTTGGATAATATTACAAAAAGTGGCATATGGCCCTGGTCAAATCTCGTGTGATACCCTCTGGCTTGCAACCTCTGACTTTTAGAACAGATGTTAAAGGAAAATAAGGAGAGAACCTAGAAACAGGGAAAGGTGAAGCACTGGTCATAGACCTAAGAGGAGTGACCTTCCTGGATGAAAAAAAAAAAAAATGGAGTGCACCCTGAGCAACAAAATGTACTTGAAGAGGAAGGACATTTCAAACAGAATGCTCACAGGTGAAATGGCCACACTTGAAGCCCTGTCCTAAATGTCAAGGTAATTATTGGAGGAATGAATGTCCCTGGGGCATAAGTCTTCTAGGCCAGTCCCCTCCACACAGGCTGGCAGAGCCCTAGGTGGATTCCAATGGCTCTGGTAACTCCTATCACCATGAACGAGCCCCAGGTATGCTTTTCTATAGGGAGCCAAGAGGTCAGTTTCCTCTTGGACACCAGTGCCAGCTTCTCTGTAGTCACCTCTTAACTTAGACTTCTTTCCTGTCTGATGGGTGTCAGGACAGCCAATCACCAAAAAGTTTATTCCCTATCTGAGTTATGAGAAGGCTTTGGAAGCCTTTGAGATATTAAAAAGGGGCCTTACTTCAAGACCCTGTCCCCAACTTACCTATGGAACAAAATTTAACCTGCTTGTCACTGACAGAGGAAAAATAACCCTAGAACTAGTCACAAAAGGGCTAAGGATAGTTGGTAAAGTGCTTACCTCACATGCACAAGGCACTGGGTTCAATCCCAGCACAACATACACACACACACACACACACACACACACACACACCACCCACATAGACAACAAATGGAATATCTCAGTAAGAAGCTTAACATAGTAGCTTCCTCCTCTAATAAAAAGTCTCATATCTTTAGATCAGGCTCAGCTGACGACAGGTCTGAGACACAAAGGGGGAAGAAAAAAAATAAAAAGTGTCTTTTACCTGAACTCATGTTAGTCTGAGGCAACAAGTAAACTGTATGCTGCTTTACTAAGATAATTAATGACTGTGTCACTTGTTCTAGGACGCTTTTTTTAGTTCTATACTTTTGAGCTCCTGGTTTTATGGTGAAATCCACATTTTGGTCCTGCATAGCTAGGTTAATATGTTTTCCTAGTCAGTCCTATTTTTGTTCAACTATACAGTTTTTGTTTGTTTGTTTTGTTTTTACACACTGCTTTGATCAAAGGAAATTGGGAAGGGTTAGCTCTTAATCTAATAGGTTTTAAAAACTACATAGCCAGGAATGGGGTTGTGGCTCAGCAGTAGAGCATTTGCCTAGCACATACAAGGCCCAGGGTTTGATCCTTAGCACCACATAAAAATAAATAAACAAAATAAAGGTATTGTGTCCAACTACAACCAAAAAGTAAATATAATGCGCCCCCCCAAAAAAAAACCCTACATGGCCTGTGTTGTTTGTCTATGTGTGTACATGGGTCTATTGTCATGTCTACATGTATTTGGGTATCAAAATTGGTATATGGATAAATGAGCCCTCACAAATTAAAATGTTTTAAAAAAGAAAATGCATACAAATACCTCTAATTCCTGTGATTTAAAAAGTTTAATTTAAATCAGGTAAACAAATGGAAGTAAAGTCACAAGTTTTGCTAGGTGGTCCAACAACTAATAATATGTTGATATCTATAAAATGTCTAATATCCATTGTTTCTAGGATTTTTCTTCAACAAGGAAGAGAAAGCTAATTCTGTTAAATACACTTGTTTGAAATCTTGAGTTTTGAAAATGAGTAAACTAGATTTGACATATATGGTATTAATCATAAATGTGTTTATTAGAGACATCTAATTAATTTACAAAGTTAAAATGCTGTTAAATATAACATCAACTTCTCTTTTTTAATTTTTTATTTGTTTTAATTAATTATACATGACAGTAGACTGCCTTTATGCACTGTGATATGTCCTATATAGATGGGATACAATTTCTCATTTTTCTGAGTGTACATGTTGCAGAACCATATTGGTCATGTAGTTACATATATACATACAGTGATAATGTCTGTTTCATTCTACTGTCTTTCCTATCTCCACATCCCCTCCACTTCCCTCCCATCACTTCCCTCTATCTAATCTAATGTAACACTATTCTTCTCTTGTGCCCCCCACCTTATTGTCAATTAGCATCT